CGGGCGTCCGTCCCGAGGGAGACCCCGGCATCCTACTCTCAGGCCCAGCCCGTCGCCTCGGCCCAGGAGACCGCCCCGCAGGCCCTGATCCTCATAACTGAGAATTTGCTTACTCACGCACGCATTCATCCGGTACCCCACGGTTCCCCCCTCCCTGACCAGTTGAATAGCCCATTATATGCCCGGCGCTGTCCTAGGCTCCGGGGACACACAGCGGGAGCAATGCAGGCAAACGTCTGTCCCTGCCCCCTTTAAGCTTGCGCTTTTAGTTTGATGGAATGGGGGATGTTGGGAAGACAATAAATAAAATGAACCAAATAAATAAATATGAAGTCTATAGGGTCCTAGTGTATAGTTATATGTTACGGAGCATGTTAATGGAGATAAGTAATTGAGAGAGGCCTTCCTCTCTGGGAACCTAGCACACTTCTACATATGATTTGGGCCAGGGTGGTTCCAGACAGTTCCACAGGATGAAGTTCAGGGGGCTGTCTTTGCAGAGCAGCAGCCCTGTGGGGCTCCCAGTGCATGTGTGCCCAGGGCTGAGGAGGGGGCGTGGGCAGCAGTGGCCTGGGCTTGGGTGCAGGCCCGTGCTATCTGGGGCTCCTGGCTGTGTTACTGCTGCCCTAGTTTAGAGCTGGAGTCAGTGTGTGTCCGATGAACTGGAGAAAGCTCCAGGCACTGAGCACTGGAGAAAGCTTGAGCCAGTGGGTAGAGAAGAAAGCATGCTTTCCAGGACCCCAGGCAGCGGGCCGCCTACAACCAGGACGGGAAGATGGGCTCTCCTCATGTCCCTCTAGTATACTCTGCTAAAGGCTTAACATACGTCAGCTGGCAAAGGAGAAATCTTTTCAAGGCTCAGCTCCATTACCACAGAGCTGGCGTAAAGTGGACTTAGAGCTGAAAGGCAATTAATTGATAAATGGCACAGATGGTGTAAAATCACATGGCCTGATCCAAGCTTAGCAGGTGGTGAGCTGGGGCTGGAGCATGGGGTTCATGGTGAGGGAAGCAAAGGCAAGGTGTCAGACTATAAAAGTTTGAATAGTAGAGTTGTTTGCCTAGTATATTCTAGGCACTGTACTAGTAACTTTCTGTGTGTCTTCTTGGATCCCAATAACATTAGTAAGGGATGATTGGCCTACTTTTATAGATGAGGAAACAGCCTCACAGAGGTAAACTAGCCAGCCCACATCACACAGTCAGCAGTGGGAGAGGAGAGACTTGAATTCAGGCCTGCAAGACTCCAAAAACACTACTCTTTCCAACACTCTAGCTACACAGAAGACTAAGGAGTTTGTGCCAGGGTAGCTTAGTTCTGGGCAGATGGTGTATAGTTTCAGGCTCTGTTTTTCAATACGCTGGACATACCTTAGTGAATGGGTGAAGGCAGTGTGCCTGATGGATTCATTCATCAATAATTCAGGCCACCGGATTTGCCCAGCAACTGGACCTCATGGCTCTGAGCCTCTTCATCTGAGAGCAAACAATCGGAAATCAGAGATGCCCCTGCTTTGCACTAGGCTGAGCACTTGATTTCGTTTGGCCTAGGGCAGATCTGGCCATCTCCCTTTACACTCCAGGGTGGGAAATTGTGAATATGACCCATGGGACTGATGGGTTGACCCAAGTTCAGAAAGCTCCTGTCAAGGATTGGATTTCTGTCTTGGGGTCTACCTGTCTTGATAGTTTCCAGAGATAGGGATAAGACAGTCTGAGGGTGGGTGCCTGAGCCTTTATCTAACAAAGCCTCCTGTATAAGGCTACTTTTCCAGAGGAGATCTGAGCTGATGTTAAGAATGGAGGTTGCTTAGAGCCTGGGGTAGTTAAATTACCAAATATTTGTTCCAAAGAAACATGCAGTCTTTCCCTCACCCCTTTTCCATTATTATTGTATCAGTCACTGTGAATGGATTTCCCATTTTTTCTCATATGCTCACACACATACACATACACACTTGGCACACACTATGACAAGCTTAAGTAGTTCTGAAAATAAGAAGCAAGGATCACTAATGGACACTAAAACTACTGAGAGAAAGGCTCTTAAGGAACAGGATATTCATACCATCTTAAAGTTTACCCCGCAGATTACTTATTAATAATGAAAGGAAGAAGTTTCCTTTACAATGGAGTGAACTGGTGGGCACTCCGCTAACAAATGATCAAGCTTCGCATCACCAGATAGGATGCGACAAAATGGCAAGATGCAATGCAATGTGGGGGACACATCACCTGTGTAATCTTGCCAAACATGTTTAAGCTGCATCTACTCATGAGGAAAAATCAGAAAAGTCAAGATTGTGGGGCATTCTACAAGACAGCTAGCCTGGACTCTTAAAAAATGTTGGTGCCATGAAAGAAAAAAAAAATCCATGAGATTGTTGTAGATGAAAGGAGACTGAAGAGGTGAAAACCAAATGCAATGTATCATCCTTCATTGGGTCCTGGATCGCAACATTTCTGTGAAGGAAATGTTCAGACAAGTGGGGAAATTTGACTACGGATTGTTTGGATGTGATAACGCTATCGTGGCACTGCAGGCCCTTTTGAATCCAGGTGTGGTCCCCAGAACTGCAGCATCAGCATCACCTGGGAGCCTATAAGAAATGCAGGATCTCAGGCTCCCCCCAAGACCCACCAGATCTCCAGATGGTCCACATGACATTTAGCCTTAGAAGTGCTAAGGTAGGAGAACTTCCTTATTTGTAGAAGGTATATTCTAGCTCATGAGCCCAGGTGGTCCTGGGGTTTTGATCTTTGTGAGAGAATGGGATTGAAAGCAGTAAAACTCTGTATAAATGTTTACTGTTCTTATTATCTGTTGAGACCAGAGGGCCTTTAAATATATGTGCTCAATAAATATTTGTATATAGATGAGTGAATACATTGTTTCCTCCACCTAACCTTTTTCTCACCCCACAACCCTGGTTAACCCTGAATCGTCCCTCAGAATTTGAGTCAAATATCATCTCCTTAGGGAACCTCAGGGAACTGCCGTCTTTCTAGCAGGGTGGAGCCCCCACTAAGTGCCACAGGGGTTTTATTAAGATAGAAGAAACAGGGAGAAATACCGTGCCCCATACTTCCTGGCATTAGGGCTGGAATCATTTGGGAGAGTTTTTTGGAAGCCAAAACAACTCATGTGAATTGTGTCTTTAGCTCCACAATCCTAGAGAAATTCTTGAACAGGTCTACTAGGGTGTATGTCCAAGGATTTCCCTGCAGTTTTTTGTTGTTTGTTAGCAGGAAGTTAGAGCAAGCTTAGGTGTGTGTCACTGGAAACAGTAGAAAAAATGTGCTGGATGTATACCATGGGATATGAGGCTGCGATAGGAAGCAACAAGCCAAGAGCATGCTCAGCTAGTGCATGTCCTGGTCTGGGCAGGATGGCCATAGTTTCTGCCCTTTGTCCTGGCTTAATTATTAATAGAACCCCTTGCACTCTTAAAAGCGTACCAGTTTGGATGATAGTGAATGGTCACCATCCTAGGCCAGGTTCCCTAGATGCAAAGCCTGAGATAGGGATTCTTGTTTGAGTGATTTTGGGGGAAAGTGTACTTAGGAGGAAATGAATGAGGGAAGAACAGGCTAAGGAAGTAAAAGGCTAAGTGAGGAGGGGGGGTCTCAGCCAGAGACGCCCTTTAGCCTGACCCCAAGGGGAGCTCTGGGGCACACACTGCAGCTTCGAGGCTAGGCCTCTTGTACCTCTGGATCTGTCAGGCATTGGCCGCAGTCTAGGGAAGGGGTGGGTGGGGTTGTGTCCCTGGCTAGTTAGCATCTGTTTGACCAAGGGCAGTTCTCCAGAGAAGGGACAGCTGTGAGTGGCTTTTAACCACCACTCATGACAGCTGGGGGTTAGGCCACAACGTCTGGTAAAGGGGACCTGGGTGGGGCACTAACTTCATCCCTTACAATCCCCCTAACCCTCATCAGCATGTGTAGATCTTTAAAAGTAGAGCTGAGCATTAAGAAAAATGTGCGATATCATTTATATAAGTTAAAAGTACATATCAGGCCCTGGCCGGGTAGTTCAGTTGGCTGGAGCATCATCCCTACACCAAAAAGTTGCGGGTTCAATTCCCAGTCAGGGCACATGCGTAGGTTGAGGGTTCAATCCCTAGTCGGGGCACATATGGGAAGCAGCTGATCTATGTTTCTCTCTCACATCGATGTTTCTCTCTCTCTCTTTCCCTTTCTCTCTCTCTAAAATCAATATCCTCTCTCTCTAAAATCAATTAAAATATATCCTCGG